ATGTTCCCTAAGAAGCTATTTCAGAGATGTGTGGCTTTGTCTAACACTCCGTTATTGCATCAGATTGAACAATTTCCTAGATATTGCCTTCATTGATTTCATGGCCTGATTTTGACCTGCCATACCGACACCGACAACCGCACTTCTCGCGGATAATGGGTACAAGCTGGGGATACTAAGAAAGAATGATGTATGCAATATGCATTTAAGGATGTATACATATATATATATATATATATATATATATATATATATGTTGTAACAAAACGTTAACGGCATAATTTGGTCTAAAAAATAATTTGATTGTGAAAAATGAGTTAATTTCCTGATATCCTAACGGCGCTGCGGTGGCAACACCAGTGCTGTAATTTAACGGTTCAACACGACTTAAAACTCAATGATTGCGAGTGGTGCGCGTGTACATATACGTTTGCACATACCAAATGTACGTACTTACATAAATGTTAACACTACCTACTTCGTGTACAGGCATGTATGTACAAACACACACACACACACACACACACACACACACACACACACACACACACACACACACACACACACACACACACACACACACATAAGCACACACATGCCCACATACCATTTTCGGCTCCTCGCTCACACACATGCTCCCACCTCCCCTACACACATGTGCCCTGCGCGCTCTCGCCGCGGCGGACGGCTGGGCGTGCCCTGTGGCCGCTCCAGTGCGCACGGCGCCGGCCACGAGACAAGGGCCAGCGCCGATCCCTGTGGAAGGTGACAGAGATCTGGATCATCGTGTGATAATTGTGTATGGAGTTTTGTGTTTCTGAACAGAATAGCCTTTCAGTGGGAAGCACGATGAAATATAAAAAAGGGAGAGAATCCGTAGGAATTCCTTGGGATGGCCCAAGCCAAAACTCACGAGCTCGCGATAGTGAAGCTGGCGCGGAACAGACGGTACCACGGATGCCAGTTCACCGCTAATCGTACAGGCAAACTTTGGCCCGTTGCATCGTGGGGTCTGGTTTCTCCACACCAGCGAATTTAGCTAATCGGCGCCAAATAATGAAACGTTCTTTATTTTTGTGCGAGGCTAGTCAAAACTGTTTAAGTGCAGTGCAATGTACAACTCTCCGAAAACAATGTTCTTAAAACGTGAGCCCTATATGGTGATTTGAAAAAAATACGACGCCGAGCAGCATTGCTGCCAACAGACTTCGGAGCGGCCAGTCCCAGCCGCTGCGCCGAGCTCGGTGACAAAGCTGACCTGTCCTCTGGCGCCCTGCTCCGCCGAGAAAACGGAGCGCGGAGCTGTTGACTGTGCTCAAGGTCTTACGTATGGAAGGAAAGTCGTATAGTGCAGGTGGCTATCCTCCCTACAAGGCAATGATTTTCAAAGATTGAGAACGCATGTCGAGTTCTCGATTGTGCGACTCAGTCAAGCAAACGTGCAGTCACTTCGTGACGACTTGTTCGAAGAAAATCCCGGGTGACTTTACCAGCTGCGGACTCGGCAGAGGTGGCCTGCGCGACTGGGTTGTGCGATGGTAGGGGACACACACACACACTCACACACACACACACACACACATATAGGTATATATACATATATACATAAATATATATATATATATATATGTATATATGTATATATATATATATATATATATATATATATATATATATATATATATATATATATATATATATATAGATATTGTTTTTCAGCATCTCTGTTAGGAACACAGTTTCACCATTTTTAGCGCATTTTCAAGGTTCAGAATTAATGACACGTTAAGATAAAAGGAGAGTAGCATTTCCGATACAGACGGGAGACAGAAGAGTAACATCTTCGGCACGAGCAAAAGAGTAGCGTCTTCGTTACGGACAGGAGAGTAGCATTTTCGGTACGGACAGGCCTTGAACGACAGTGAAGTTAGACAATGGCCAGTCATCCGTGAGTCTCTGATAACTCCGACATGTGTAAACACGCTTTCAGTTAACGCGACTGTCGTACGATCTTCCCTTGACATCAATATTTTCTCTTCTATTGAAGTTGTACAGAAGCTGCACGGTCTGATGATCGCAAGTCGTTCAGAGCAACCAAGTAAAAATGGTTTGCTTCAGCATGGTGCTACGCAGAGGACCGCCAAGGGCCTGGGTTTATGGGTTTTCGACCTGCAAACGTTGCCGTGGGAGTGCGCGCAATACGCCGACCACTACTGATAAGAATAGCGTCTTCGGTACGGCAGGAGAGTAGCATCTTCGGTACGGCAGGAGAGTAGCATCTTCGGTACGGACAGGCGAGTAGCATCCTCAGACGCCAGCTCCGGGCCATGGATGAACAGCACAGGCAGCCGAAGGCATCGCCGACACTATCGCTGGACGCCCTGCCAAAACGCATAGCGCTGACGGCGTCAGAAGAGGTGAAACATACACGAGGGATATGACGCAATCTAAGTGAGCTGACCGGTCCTTTAAGTGAGCTTCTGCTCCTTCTTGCGCTCTGCCCCTCCCGTTATCCGTATTGCGCCTTCCATCTCATTTTCGCATGTGTTCCTCTCCCTCGCAATTGTCCTGTTGGCGCCCCGTTCCCACGCCTCCGGGTTGATCGGGTGCCTTTGACTGACCGCCGTGCCATGCACATAAGTTGTGGCGTGTCCCAAGACCACGTCACATAAGATGCGGCGTGTCTCGAGACCACGCCTTGGCCGGAGTACCCGGTGGCCCGGTGTGCTCGTTGCAGCATAAGTGGATATAACGTTTCGCACTAGGAGCTCGCTGATCACTGACTGACGAAAGAGAAGTTTGCTTATGAAACCAAATGCCTCCGGTCACATGCTAAATCCCAAAGTCACGATGACGCGATCAATGACACTCAGCACAATCTGGCGAACGTTTTCGGACTACTTCTATTTGAGACAACTTAAAAGACTTGTACGAGGTCACACAAGGTCACAGAGTGTTGCAGTATATTTCAATAATCGTTATAGTACAGATGGTGCACGATAAAGAGCACCACTGAACAAACGAGGCCAGTGTTGCAATACATTCTAATAATCCTTATAATGCAGATGCCATACGATAAAGTGAACTGCTGAACAAAGGAGGTTCCAGATACAATATATTTCAATAATCATTATAATACAGTTGCTACACAGTAAAGAGCACTGTTGAACAAACGCATTTAAGCTGTGCGAGAACCAAATTTCAGCTACAATCAGAACACACCAGGGATTGCACGGTAGCCCAGAATCTGCACTCCGGCACTAATGGGCAAAGTCATGACCTTGCTCAATCTTCTGAATGTGAATGCCGCTTGCATGCAAGCAGCCAGCAGCAAAACTCGCTGAAAAATGAACTATCACCGACCAAACATCTCTGCACCAGCCACGGTGCAGACTATATCTGGCTGTAGTGAACCATTTTAAACTTATTTGACCCGGCGTAACCTCGGCCCAAAAAAATCACCACAATCGATCGCATGATATTCATCAAAGTGATTTCCTGTGGTGGATTACGGAAAATTTGCCTTGCAAGTGTAGGTGCCGTGAATCCAGCACACAAGCGCAATGAGGCGTGTATAGCTGACTTGACCTCTGGTGACCTGGCCCCACGCCCTCAGATACAATCAGGCCTGACACCTGTTCCGTTGAAGTTAATTACATCGATTGAAAAACACCCGTAATTATCATGCGTTACGTGCGTAGTGTGCCAACAATTGTGCGTCTTGTGCTAACAAGTGAATCGTATTGTTTATGTTACCAGAAACCGGTCAAACATGACCTCCCCTAATGGGTAATACGTCGCGGTCTATTCGGACAAAGTGCTGAAAATGTCAAGGAACTTTTACAAATGTCAAGCAGTCAACTACTAACGAAATCAGTACGATCCCGGTCCAGAAAGGATCAGCTTCGACGTGCGAGGGTCAGGCGCAGCGTGCCAAGAAGGAAATCATCGCCATCCGGCTTCAACGCTTTAATTTCCTTAAACAAGTTTAGCATAATCTGAATCCTCACATAATCGTAACCTACGCTGCCCCAAACATTACCTTTCCTCCCTTGTCAAGCTTCCGTTGCGCATCTTCTCGGACAAACTTTCCATCCCTGCTAAGATTTCGTTACGCATCCTCTCGCATAAGCTTTCCATCCTTGTTAAGCTTCCGTTGCGCATCCTCTCAGACAAACTTTCCCCCCTTGTTAAGCTTCCGTTACGCATCCTCTAGGACAAACTTTCCATCCTTGTCAAGCTTCCATTACGCAACCTCTCGGATAAACTTTCCTCCCTTGTTAAGTTTCCGTTATACGCCATCTACACTTTCATGCGTGCCGTTAGACACAGGCGACCCTTAATATCTTAATATCTTGTTGGCGATGTCTGCAATTTGCCTAAAGAAAAATATTGCCTTTGTCCAAAAAAAAGATTCGTTCAACCGCATTCACCCTGGGCAGGACTCGGTGCCTGTATATCGGTTTGAAGCTTGCTGAAGTTAAAGATGGTAATTGAGCTCACTTTGATTTGAGAGGTATGACTTCTAAACATATATTTCGCATATTGAGCGACAGCGAAGTTAGACAATGGCCAGTCAGCCGTGAGTCTCTGAAAACCCCCACATGTGTAAACACGCTTTCAGTTAATGTGACTGTCGTACGATCTTCCATTGACATTAATATTCTCTCTTCTATTGAAGTTGTACAGAAGCTGCACGGTCTGATGATCGCGAGTCGTTCAGAGCAACCAAGTAAAAATGGTTTGCTTCAGCATGGTGCTACGCAGAGGACCGCCAAGGGCCTGGATTTATGGGTTTTCTGCCTGCAAACGTTACCGTGGGAGTGCGCGCGATACGCCGACCACTCCTGATGGGGAGGGGTACGGCGTGTACCGGGCTCGCTGCAGCCTGACTACCGCGCCCGTGGGACCGCGATCCTGCAGACTCGCATAAAAGGCGGCGGAAGGGCTTCACTTCAACCAGTCTTGCGGCAACTATTCTGCAGCCCGATCCCGCGGCCATGAAGGTGAGAGATCTGTGCCCCTGCCAGCATTGGCAGAAGACCCCGATCCAGTTTCCCTAAAGGCGGCCCCACGATGGCCGGTTTTCGCTGCGCAGCGTCGTGATGCAATGCAAGGCGGAACCGAGCCGAAACGTAGCATAACGTTAGAGCTAGTGAGACTCCCCAGCGCGGCCCGCACTGCAGCCTACGCACGAGACGGCGCGGGACGCTGCCTCTTGGCAGATGAAAACTCGAATTTCAGGCGGCTGGTCTCCGCGTCTCGCGTGAAATTACTGTGAAGCACAGAACTGTCCACCATCTTGAGTGGATAAGGTGTGTCGACGATGTTTTATGGCATTCAAGTGCGCGTGATTTGAGCTGCTATGCTCCTTTTTTATTCCTTTCGGCCTCGCATTGCATCGCAACACTGCAACGAAAAGTGGCTGGTGGTGGGTAGGGATGGGGCTTAAATGCTGTTTAAAACCTGAACGTGCGGCATGGTTTTGAGGCCTCCTTGGAAAATACGCGTTGTAAATATATATATATATATATATATATATATATATATATATATATATATATATATATATGCAGACTCTCCCCACTCTCCAATGTCTGCGGCGTGGGTACGTGAGTGGAGGTGTTGACAGTTTGGTAGCGCAGCCAGGTCCCAACACTGGAGGGAGAGCGCGTCCCGAATTGGCTTCGAGTTTGGTGGTACGCCCATGACATGACATGGAAAGAGCCGACGCAAAAGGCCTTCGAGTTTGGTGGTACGCCCATGACATGACATGGAAAGAGCCGACGCAAAAGGCCTTCGATATTACTGGCTCCACAGCGCTGGTGACAGGCAACCCTAGATGAGGCCACAGCTAAGGAAAGTAATGGTCACAGGTCTACGGGAACTCACAAAGCTGGCATGGCGACCGCGGCGTGTTTCTTGTGACGTCACAGTGCCTGGAAATGCGCTACAGAGAGGGAATCAACGATCGTGGTGGGGAAAACGATGCCGGAATTGTAACACGAGCGGGACCGAGTTTGTCTGATTGAGCTGCGCACTTTGGTTGACTTTTTCCGGGTTCAGGAGAAAACGAGCAGTGTGGCCCGTTGGTAGTTAGCGGTACAATTGCTCACAGCGCAAAAGGTCAGCGACAATTCCTGACATTCCAAAGTCCCGAGTGGGTCTGCTGGTATTCCAGTCAAGTCAAAGATGTATGACGCATTCTGGTGTGCAAGCCAGCTGCCGTGCTATACCCCCGAGCAGTGCGTCTCCATTGGCTCGTCTTTTGTCGGAAACGTCGAGGTAACCTGAGCAGTGCGTCTCCATCGGCTCTTCTTTTGCCAGAAAGATCGAGGAAACTTATCAGACACCGGCATGCGTAAGCCTCACGAACTGAACACTGACCTCCGTCATAGGCAGATCCCGATAACAGAAGCCTCACGAACTGAACACTGACCTCCATCATAGGCAGATCCCGATAACAGAAGCCTCACGAACTGAACACTGACCTCCGTCATAGGCAGATCCCGATAACAGAAACCTCACGAACTGAACACTGACCTCCATCATAGGCAGATCCCGATAACAGAAGCCTCACGAACTGAACACTGACCTCCGTCATAGGCAGCTCCCGATAACAGAAGCCTCACGAACTGAACACTGACCTCCGTCATAGGCAGATCCCGATAACAGAAGTCTCACGAACTGAACACTGACCTCCATCATAGGCAGATCGCGATAACAGAAGCCTCACGAACTGAACACTGACCTCCGTCATAGGCAGATCCCGATAACAGAAGCAACTCTGTGACCTGTCTCAGGCACCTAATGATTACGTTGGCGTCACAAATAAAAGTGACCCACGGCGTCTTAAACGTACCAAAAATGTTGAATTTTCTTCTTTTTTTTACAGCCATGGTGGCTGCTTGTAGCATGTTCTGTAATAGAGCGTTTTGAACTTGGAATATCAGCGATCACCGTTGAATATACATCAGCAATCAGATCAACATCAGCATCACGACCGCCGGAGCACCACAGGCCATCGACCACATATCATATGTGAAACCTGCCTCGCGCCAAATGCAATAACAGTTGCACACGCTTCAAGCATATGAAAAATATAACTTACGTCTATTTCTCTGATTTCACCATTTTCCGTCCGTTCAAAATACATTGCCGCAGTCACTCTCTTAAGCTAGATCACGTTCTCAGTCTACAGGTGCAAACCACGGACATTGTCAGTCACTGTCCGGTCCGATCTGCAGTCGTTTCGGGTGCCCGATTTTCCCTAGCGTTGTTTTCCGTGCAGTGAATGTTGGTCTCGATGTCCTAAGCAGGTACTTTGTTTACGCTCGTAACAAACAGCAGACAGTCCTGTTTTTAAGAGTTATTTATATCGTATATTTCAAAAACGTCTATCTCTATGGTTCGGCTGCTAAGGGTGCCTGCCTTCCGGTTCACCCACCCAACGGGAGGTGGGCTTGAGTCGCTTAAGGCGCCCGCTATTTAGCCCTGGCTGGGGCGGCCTACGACCGGTGGCAGCGGCCGCGCCTAAGTTCAGGTGACGTCAGACGGCAGAACGGACCGTACCGAGCACTGAGGCATGTTAAGCTTTCGTCGCAAAAAGCTGCCGTTAGCCTGGAATTTCACGATTGAATGATGGTGTTGGTCAGAGCTCACGATACCAGCGTGGCTTAGCGTGGATGTGATTCCTAAAACCCGTTTAATAAAAGGTTAGAGCAAATGTTTAACAAAATGGTAGAATGTATTGGCTGCAGGCATACGCACCTAAGGCTAAGCGTACATGGATAGCGTCACAGTCAGATGTAGGCGCTTCTTAAAACACACGCTACACAAAATCCTGAACTTGCTGGTCCCCGAACTTCAAGCGTGTTGAGTTACAACCCGACACAAAGTTTACATACTGAGCTTGTCAGATACGCCCGGCCAGGAAGTCATCGCTATGCTATAGACTGAAAGAATCTATATAGTAGATCCAATTTCTGAGTCGTGATCATTGGACCTCCTATTATCTCGCATCCGTCTGAACTTTGGTCGAATTATTGTCTGCGATCTGTGGCACTTTTTAGGGTGTCGGCGATGGACCACCCAGGCCTTTGGGTCTTTCCCAAACTATGTCGAAGGAATACTTTGGAATACAGACAAGTTTTTCAAACTTTAAGAAAATAATGATTTGGAATCTGGTCTACATTCTTGACGTTTTTGAAGGATAATTTTGGGCGTTTTCTTTTGGCGTGATCCAAACACATATATGTCACCTGGTAACCAAAGGTTGGTTAATTTCATCATAGCCTTCAATGCGGCACGCAAATCAAGAGCATAACAGCAGCCCTCTTCACAACAACCCTAAAGGCTTTGCCCCGTCTGTTTGCCACATTTGTCCATGGCCTTAGCGCTCACCGAACTCTCCCTTGCAGCTGATCGTCTTATCCGCTCTGCTGGCTGTCGCCGCCGCCGGCCACTTCAACGATTACTACGCCGTGCCAGACTACAGCACGGCCTACTCAGTCAAGGACCCGTACTCGGGCGTCAAAGTCGACAAACAAGAGAACCGGCTGGGCGACAAGACGGAGGGCTCCTACTCGCAGGTCCTTCCCGACGGCCGCTTGCAGGTGGTGAGGTACTGGGTGGACGGCTACTCGGGCTACAACGCTGACGTCCAGTACTACGGCGCCGCCAAGCATCCGCATACCCCGATCCACCACGGCTACGGCAACGCTGGATATGTATATCACTAAGCGGTTGGTTGGAAATCGCTGCGTTAAGTGTACCGTCCCCGTCCCATGAACGTCATGTCATCGTCTTCACCGCCGTCTGTAGAGCATCTTGAGCACCTGTGTGTTTATGCGCTGAGGTGTTTTGATTGCATGTATGTGTGTGTGCATGTGGTTGTAACCAACGGCAATACACATAGGAAGCAGCCAGAAGTGAATCTTTTGTTTGAAGTCGTGGTGTAAGCGTTTCACGAATAAATCCGCCTCGATTCTTCACTCCAGTTGCTTTGATATAAATTACACTCGCTACCGCGGACAAAAAAAACATTATGAAATGCTCCGAGATAACTCTATCGTAATAATGCTGGTGATCAATTCCTTATGCAGCTCGGGCCACCATGAAGTATTTCACAGCAACCCAACCAGGCATGTGACCCGCACGCCTTCAAAAAATGCACATTTTGATAGTCGGGTAATCATAGGCCATAAAGACACCAAAGCAAATTTTAGACCTCTCGAGCAATGTCTTCCGAGCTACAACCTCGGGTTTTTTTCGAGATGTCACGCTGCTAGCTTATATTCGACGCTATATAACTTGTAGCCGAATAATTCAAATGGATCATACTTGCATAGCACTGAATTTACCACGATGCAAGACAACTCTCTTGACACTTTGAAATTTCATTATTGTTAGTTTTTGACCTGGTGATTTGAACTCAACCTCACTCAGCTTTGGTGCGTCGCATGACAACACAACTTAAAAGTGACGGGCACTTCCTATAGGTGCCCTGCAAGGCTCCCAAGATGCGTTTTGTTACTACTGGAAACAGAATAGCCGTAATTTCCGAAGTAGGAGAATATATGGAGATGCGGTAATCAACGTTCAATTGGGTTGGCGATTCTGAACAAGACATTCGCCACCATGGTCGTAATTCGGGTCAAAGTCAAGGTCATCTAATAGGTCAAACGTTGGTAAACACATGTTTTAATTGGCTCAACAATCATCATTTGCGCACAGTGGGCACAACGAAACCAAATGATCACTTCATGATTGACCTATAATGGGATGGAACATTACGTTCCATTTTTGTTGACCTCAAAACGCAGCAAATTTGGGTCACTTACGATTCGCTTCATAATTTGTCACGTGGCAACTGCTGTCTCTCCGATCATACAGCTTCATAATTTGTCACATGGCAACTACTGTCTCTCCGATCATGCATCTTCATAATTTGTCACATGGCAACTGCTGTCTCCCCGATCATACAGCTCACACAGATACCACGGCGTACATGCTACCACATTTGCACTCCCAGAAGTTTGGTTAGGAAATGCTATTTTTGTCAATTTATTTCACGCACAGCGGTGGGGCTTAACATTAAAATAACTCACTGTGTCAGAACGGTATCGGTGACCGAAGCGATGCGGCCAAGGAAAATGGGTTCTCCCCTCTATAATTATCCCCGTAGAATGCACATTTGATTACGTTTTTCCTTCCAAAATTACTACTGTTACTGTACAAAACTGTTTGCTGTTAGGTCAAGTCCCCCCGGACCACAGTCTAAGCTCTTTAATCCTGACTTGGTTCCTCCAATCACAGAGACGTGGTTAAAGCTACGCCCCGGTCCGCCTCCAATCATTTTCCGTCTGCTAACTCATGTAACATGTTATATGCTATGAGGTTCAGCTCTCAGTCGTGGCTCAAAATTTTTTAGCTTGCTTATGGGACAGACTGGAAAGCGCAAATGTGGTGGTCTCAGGCTATTCAAGATGTTCTTTTCAGTAGAAAAAAGTATGCTGCATTCCAAACCTGCGTGCGTGCACCTGTTGACCTTCGCGTTCTTTACTCATTGGGTCAACACTAGAATGGAATGAGCCTCACACCGAACGCAACTGTGCTACCCTCGGATCAAATGTGGTCGTGCGGTTCTTTCCAAAATGTATGTGCGGCATCAGCGTCCTACAAAAAGCAAAAATGTGCACCGTATGCCGTGTTTAGGTGCTTACCAAACGTTCGCCATTTGGAGTAGATACCTTGACGTTAATCCGCATGATCCGATTTGACAGTATATGACGTGAACGACAAGAACTAGAGAAAAACAGCAGCAAGCTTATGGCAGAAAAAAGTCTGATCTATCACTTGGCCTTTTTTATTGCTCTAGCAGTATTAGTTGAGAAAGACCAGGGTCTGGGTTAAACCAGCGCTTAACAGCCGGTAGAAGCGGAGATTTGGCAGCTCTCGCGAGCATCGTTTTCGGTGAGTATGATGTAAGGACAGATTTGGATCCAGGGTCTTCTCAAGCGTGGTTTGTCGCAAAGATCCTGAACTTACCACTGCCATACATTATTGGGGCTGCATTATTAGGTCATGGGACTGCATCTGCTTTAACCTTCCATCAAAGTAAAATGAAGGACCTTTTTATATCCCACGCAAGTGAAAAGCACGCGGTCGGTCATCCACACACCTGACGTTTTTTGAGATCACAAAACCTCGTTATCAATGAAGCTGTTTGCCAAGTTTACGGTGCGCTACTATTTGAACTACGCAGACAGAACTAAGAACAGAAAGAAATGGTTATGCCAACACTGACCGCTGACAGTGTGCGCAATTGTTTGGAATAACATTCCAAATTCACTTCTGATATGCTAGAGTAATACAAAACAGTTTTAGGTGTGCTGTACACGTACATGAAGCAACGCAAATTCTGAACTCATTGTGTGTCCAAGACTGTTCAGCAGAGGTAACGGAAGAGAAATAATCCTAGCGAGGCGGACGGAGCACCACAAACATTCATCGTTTACTGCGTGCCTTCCGTGACAAGTTCTCTACAAGCATTACAGATGTAAAATCAGTCCTCATAAGGTCACAACAACCAAGGCCGGGTTTGTTTTTTGTCGGACTACGAATATTTTGACGACCACGCTGAGTTTCTGGCTCAAGTCAAAGCACTTACCACCTTTCATTCTTCCCATCAACGAAAGCGATCATCCACCTGCGTTCGACGGTCTGCACCATCAGCTTCCACACGTAATCGTCAGGGACCGACCACTGCGCGTTTGCACCATCAGGTTCCACACGTAATCGTCAGGGACCGACCACTGCGCGTCTGCACCATCAGCTTCCACACGTGATCGTCAGGGACCGACCACTGCGCGTTTTAGGTGACATCATCCTGGACATTCCCGACGGCCGGAACTAGACACACGAAGATGCCTGAAGACGCTGCACGAGCTATCACTCGAACAGCTCATCACCGAGCTGGCACGTCCCGGCGGGGGACGGCAATGATTACTGAGCACACAGTCACCTCTCGACCAGACCTGGGCTCACAGTCACCTCTCGACCAGGCCTGGGCACACAGTCACCTCTCGGCCAGACCTGGGCACACAGTCACCTCTCGACCAGGCCTGAGCACACAGTCACCTCTCGACCAGACCTGGGCACACAGTCACCTCTCGACCAGACCTGGGCACACAGTCACCTCTCGACCAAACCTGGGCACACAGTCACCTCTCGACCAAACCTGAGCACACAGTTACCTCTCGACCAAACCTGGGCACACAGTCACCTCTCGACCAAACCTGAGCACACAGTCACCTCTCGACCAAACCTGAGCACACAGTTACCTCTCAACCAAACCTGGGCACACATTCACCTCTCAACCAGACCTGAGCACACAGTCATCTCTCGAGCAAACCTGAACACACCGTCACCCCTCAAGCAAACCTCTCGAGCGGCTCACGCGCTACCCTCTGTGACGTCAGCGGCTACGATCTGGCAGCTTTAAGCGTCGTAGGAGAGCATACGCTTCGCCGCCCGCCATGCAGTTGTGCATATGGCTGCAGCTGACATTGCAACGACGGACAGGGCCAGGGCCCTTCGGCCCCAGCGTGGGAGTCCGCGTCCGAGCCTCGGCTGCTCCATGGCCCATGAACACTAATATGGGCCCCTGCAGTCGCTGGCGCTCCATAAAAAGGTGCGCGACGACGTGTGTCACGTTTCCTTACTAACGACATCGCAGGCAGGGATGAAAATACATGCGAATCAATGTCACGAAGGTGCAAGCAGCGCCACGAAAGGCTCCTGATAGGTAGCCCACATCCGATACTAGGCTACGGGAGATTTTCTCGAGACTAGGTCACATGTAAACGCGACGAGTGAGCAAAATAAGCGGAGCTGCGCACCACGGCGGCTGCCTTGCCAGACGCTCGAACCAAAAGCAAACTTTGCGTGTTCGCTCTCGCGCCCGGGGACTTATTTGCTGGAAAACAATTCACAGATTTAAGGCGATGGCTGACACATCTCTGACACTAAACCGACGGAACTGTAGCAAGGTGGATCGTCTCCACCATCTGATGGCAGCAGATTAGTTCTTCCATACCTGGTGACGGGCCTCAACATTGAATGACGCCTTCACTCATACTTGTCGGACTTGGCGCTTAAATAAATTTGTTCAAAATGTTAGCAGTTATCGCAGATCCCATCCAGGCTCTTCAGAAACTGTTGTCGCGATGACGGCTGTCGGCTGCCAAGTGTGTTAGTCGCGATGACGGCTGTCGGCTACCAAGTGTGTTAGTCGCGATGACGGCTGTCGGTTGCCAAGTGTGTTAGTTGTGATGACGGCTATCGGCTGCCAAGTGTGTTAGTCGCGATGACGGCTGTCGGCTACCAAGTGTGTTAGTCGCGATGACGGCTGTCGGCTGCCAAGTGTGTTAGTTGTGATGACGGCTATCGGCTGCCAAGTGTGTTAGTCGCGATGACGGCTATCGGCTACCAAGTGTGTTAGTCCCGATGACGGCTATCGGCTGCCAAGTGTGTTAGTCGCGATGACGGCTATCGGCTGCCAAGTGTGTTAGTCCCGATGACGGCTATCGGCTGCCAAGTGTGTTAGTCGCGATGACGGCTATCGGCTGCCAAGTGTGTTAGTCCCGATGACGGCTGTCGGTTGCCAAGTGTGTTAGTCGCGATGACGGCTGTCGGTTGCCAAGTGTGTTAGTCCCGATGACGGCTATCGGCTGCCAAG